GATCTCCAGAGGTCCCTTCCTGCCCCATATCATCCTGTGATTCCGTGAATATTGGCAATGTCAGTTCTGGGCATCCCCACCATCCACGGGGTGCATCCTCACCTGTGTCTCCAGCAGCTGGAGGTCACGCTCAAAGGCGCTGTGCATGCGGTGGAAAGCCTCCACCGTGCCGGCGTCCTCCCCCAGGTCCTGGGGCAGCTCCTGGCGGCGGGCGGCGATGAGGGCCAGCAGCTCTCCACCGTCGTAGAAGTACTTGTGCAGGTCGTAGGAGGCGGCGAGGAGCTGCATGCGGGTGTCGATGAGCTCCAGCAGGTCGGCCCAGCTCTCGTTCAGCCCATCCTTCCACTCAGCCATGGTGGCCGCCTCCACGTGCCCGGCGTCGATGAGGTCCTCGATGGTCAGGTTCACCCTGTCCACCCGTTCCTGCCCCACGCTGCCCGTCTCCCGTGCAAATTCCCGAAACTTCTCCCTCAGGAGCTGCATGGAGTGGAGAGAAGAGTTGATTTTGCCCCCCCCATACCTCCCCAAACCACACTTCGGCACCACCATGCCCACCCTTGACCATCCGCTCACCGTGACGTGGTCCAGGTCCTGCCCCATCTCCTGGGAGGAGGCGACCACGTCGCGCTCGGCGATCCACTGCTCCAGGTCCTCCACCTCCCGCTTCAGCTGGAAGAGGTGGGACATGTTCTCCAGGCGCCGGCGGCGCTCCTCGGCCGCCTCCTTCAGCCCGGCGTAGTGCTTGTCCACCTGGCCCTGCAGCCGGATGATCTGCTCCCTGCGCGGCCCCGGCACACAGACACCCCAGTTCTCACCCGGGAAAAGACGCCCCCGACCCCATCCGTGTTGCCAAACAGTTGGGGGGGACCCACTCTGTGCTCCCCATGTCCCTCTGCCACCATCTCCCTGCTGCAGCCGGGGCAACCGATGCCACCAGAGCCCCAGCTGAACCACCCGCCATGGTGCTGAGGGCACGGGGACGCCCCGAGGGACAGGGGACACGCGGTGGTGGCACCTACCCTTCGGGGTGGCCGGCGGCGAGCAGCTGCTGAGCCCTCCCTGCCAGCTCCTTGATGGTTTGGCCGTAGTCCTCGATGGACCGCTGCTGCCGCACGTGTCTCTTCAGCATCACCAAGCCGCTCTCCTCGTCCTG